GTGTGTACTTTGGCCTTCTCCCTTAAGCCCTGACTGGCAGGGGCCTGCATAAGCCTGCTGTGATAGCATTACGCACTACCTACATCGTGGGAATTCTCCCGCAGCCAGATAAGAGGCTTTTCCTTGTTTTTTCCACTACACGGTGGTGTACAAGGCCTTTGGGAGTCCCTAGCAGTAGAATCCCTCCTACTCTGCCTCCTCCCTGCAGCAGACTTGTTCCCTTCGAGAGATCCCTAGTCATGCTTTAACCTACGCGCTTAGATGCTGCAGAGATGGAGGTTGTAGAAAGCTGAAGCTTGATGTATGAGAAAATACATGGTTATTTAGGAAGTTTTGAAAAGGAAATAGACTCTAGGCCCTGAGACAATCTCTGTGCTGCATCTTGGCGATAAGAGAGGGAAATGTCCATAGCCATGTATTGTGGCGGTTTTAGCCTTAGCTGGGACACTTTGATGTCTGCTTGATGGGACTTTACCTCCAGCCTCCCTTTCTTGCTGTTGCCAGAACCCCTACAGGAGAATGTCCTTTTGGAACTAATTTTACAGGAATTAGATGCATTGTAGCCTTTTAAATATCATGCAACAGTCATTTTGCCCTTATCCTTTTTAATGTATCCGGACACAAGTGAGGGGAGACGAGCAAGTCAAATGTTTCTCATTTTTCAATAACTCATGAGAAATCTCCTTTCCACCTTTCAGATCCTTCCCCTAGCCCATAATACAGTCACCTGGCATGAACAGGTTTGAATAAATCCTTTCTAACCACATTTTGAAAACTAGGCAAGGCATCATCAGCAAGATAGGCCCAAATACCACAGCAGTGAGTGCCTTGGGTTATGGCCAAACCGACATGTTACAGGGAGGCAAGCTAGGGTGTGAATTCACAGTACTTTAGCTTAGCCTACTTCCGGCTAACTTAGTCATCTTGCACTTGCCTCTGAAAGTAAGGGTGCCTGCTCAGACAGGCACTGCAGAGTAGCTAATGGTTGTAAATTCACACCCAAGCTGGTCTCTCCATCATGCGTTCGTGTTGCCATACCCTTAGAAACATGTGCAACAAGTGTGAGATGTCATCCTGACTAGCCAAGTGCTGGGCCTACAGTTGAGCCTGTGTAAGATGCTTTGGAAAAGGTCATGTGCTGAATGAAGTGCAATGTTCTCTTGTTGGGGGGAAGAGGCCGCTTCTGCTTTGTGAATTTGTGCTTTGCAACTTCCTTATAAGCCATATTTGTTGAACTGCTAGCCTTAACCCTCTTCTCCTTAGCTTGAGGTTAATTGCTGCCGTGAGGAAACAGCCACGTTTGCGCAGTCCCTTTGCTTTTCCCCAGTATTTGCAATTGTAACATTGACCAGCATCTTAGTGGTAAATGTCCTTTGCTGAAGTCAGGAACCGCTTTGTTTCCTCCCGTTCCTTGTAGTTTTTCCCTATCCATGGACATGCATACATTTTGTCTGGAGGTATGGCTTTTTTGTGTGCCATGAGGTGAAGTGTTAACTAAACCAGCAGCCTAAGATTGCTGCCGTTGCATTTGTCGTGCAAAATTGTCGTGAAACAAACGCTTTTGAATGTGAGTTTGGCTCTGTGCTCTGAACAGAAATCTCCAGCTGAAATGCTAGTATAAGACTTTGCCTCCAGAGAGGCATGTTGCTAACTTTTCTTTCTGTTTCCAGCTGTCCCATTTCCACCCACGCAACGGCTCACGCTGAAGGAAGTGTTTGAAGATGGGAAACCCAGGCTTGATGTCTTGAAGAGCCACCTGGTGAAGGAAGGGCGCCTGGAAGAGGATGCAGCACTAAAGATCATCAATGATGGGGCTGCCATTCTGAGGCACGAGAAGACGATGATTGAAGTGGAGGCTCCAATCACAGGTCAGAGAGAGCAGGAATCAGAAATGAGGCCTTTCTAGAATTGCAAGCTGCCAAAAGTAGCAGATGCTGATCTGCTGTGTGTTCTTACTGCCAGAGTACAGGCAGCAGGGTCTTTAACTTGCCCTAACTCCCAAAAGAGAGAGGATTTGCATAGCATAGATTGAGTTTGCTTAGGTCAGAGTGAAGCCATGCTCCCTGTTGCTGCTGTGACCTTTCTTTTCTTAGCTTGTAATTCTGTCCCTTTTGTGTTGTTCTTTTCCCCTTAGTGTGTGGTGACATTCATGGGCAGTTCTTTGACCTGATGAAGTTGTTTGAAGTTGGAGGATCACCCAATAACACTCGCTACCTCTTCCTGGGAGACTATGTGGACAGAGGCTACTTCAGTATAGAGGTGACAATTAAATCTGAGCTTTTGGGGTTTGGCATGTTACAGATTGAACTAAGCCTAACCAAATTCCTGTCTTGTACACCATTCTTGCATGCAAAAAAAAGTCACATCCTAACCTGTGTCTTTGCAGCACAAGTTAGAAAAGCATTGACCAATAGCAGGACCGTCCATATGGTACAAGCTGGATGTTGTGCCCTCATTATGTAGCCACAGAGCCAAACTCTTTGTTTTTAATCTGTAGCAGTAACGTCACCTGCAACTGTCGGAGTTGGAGCAGGAGAAGGGAACCCAGGTCACTCCCTTGTTGCCCATAATGTGCAGGGGAGAGGTGAGCAAGCTTCTGGGGTTTTTCCCAGTAGGGGAAGGAGTGAGATGAGATGAGCTAACAATCCGTTTTCTTTTATGTGGCCCCCTTAAAATGATTGGTGTTGCATCCACAAAGGAGGATTTTGCCCTGCACTGGGGCCTTAATGGCCCACACAGTGATCAGTGCAGTGTCCTCTGGCTTCACATCCAACTATGGAGCATCAGCATGATGCCTTACTGCAGTAATAACTGTGTCCCATTTCTGATTTTAGCCCTCTCTCCAGGCTTTGGTGGCTCTTGGTAGTACCATTTACTGACCGAGTAGTCTCACAGCTTAGAGACAGTTGAGAAATGTGGGCCTTAAAGGACAGAGTAATTGATCAGTGGCAGCTGCTACCTCTCTGAACAGTCACTAGGAACTGAGGGACTCTTTGCTATGTGGAATTTCTTTTAGTAAGCACCATCAGCTAGAAGGGATTGCAATCTTTCTTTCTCTCCATGAAAGCAGAGGTGATTAGTAGAGAAATGCTGATTTTAGGTAGAGACAGTATGACAGGTGACGTGAGACAGGCAAAGGTCCTAACAGATGGCAAAACTAATGGTGCTGGGCCTTGTGGGCCTTGCATTCTAAAGGTAAGGCCATAGAAGCTGCAAGGCTATTTCAGCTAATATCACAGGTGAGAACAAAAGGGCAGAGCCCACAGCAAACAAGGAGCCGATGTCTGTATGCACAGATCAGCTAGGAGTCAGGTCAGCAATGGGGACAGCTAGTATAAATAGGGGAGCCCCCTTCCCCTCCTGTGTCCCTAGAGGTACTTGAAGTGGCCTGAACGGGGTACCCCAGACAGACGGCCTTCTTTTACCCTGTATTCGTATGCACTGACTAAAAGCCAAGGGAGGATTCTGAGCTCTTGCAGTGATAGAGGACCCGCTGATGCTGGAGAGGCCGGTAAGCTGTCTTTACAGCTGGTACGAGGACCTCTGCATGGCACCTCCAGAGGGGAGCTGGAGTAGGAGGAATTTGCCTAGGCCTGCATAAAACAGTTTGGTTTGCGTACACACCTGTGTTCAGGATGTAAATGTGTTCCCCTGCTGGGGTTCTGTTGAATGCCAGCTTAGTCACTCTGAGATGAAGAATATTTAGTTTTGCAGGGAAAACCTTAACACAGGATCCTTGGATTCTGAGGTCTATAAACAATGCTTCATATGTTCTACAGGGCATGGACTATAAGGTGGGTTCCCCCCACCCATATACATGTGGGCTGGGCTGGGCTGTCCAGCTTGACAGGAGGATTAAGCACTTAAGCCCGGATCCACAAATCAATTTAGGCACCTAAACGCTCTTTGGCTAGAGGCCTGTGCGCTGAAATACTGTGGTGACTGGCGCTATATAGACTCGGCATGTGAGAGCCTGTTGGGACTAGGGTTGCAGTTGTGCAGCAGGAATGGAAGCAGGGAAATTGAGCCTCTTTGGTGAGCAGGCTTGATTGGCGGAAATCTTGTCACAGGGCGGGGAGCCTAAAAGGGCTGGTGGGTTAGTGAAAGTTTGCCTGTTGCAGCCTCCATTCAGACCTAACATATTTCCAATGCTGGAGGCATGTGTAAAATGACCCCGATTTTTTTTTTTTCATTTTCAGAGCCATTTGGGACAGCTGTTCTTTGTGAGCTGTCAGCATGAAGCCCTTTCATGGCATTCTTGACCCTTCTCTCCCTTTGAGTCCGCAGGGGAGATAAAGCTGTGAAGCTTTCTATTTCCCCACAGAGCAAACATTGATCTTTCACGAAGCTGGGTGGGCTTTGATTAGTACACGTGGGGGCTGATCCAAATGTCACTGATAAAACAGAATATAGAAGGCTTGCTTCCCTTGTGCTTATCGATGTGTGCCTTTTTTCCCCCACCTACTGCACAGTGCAGGCTCTGCTTTTAAAGAGAGTCCCACTTTTGTGTGTAACAGACTGTAACATTGCCGGTTTCTACAGTGAAATGGCAGCAGTTCAGCAGATAACCGAGATGATAGCTGTGGGCAAAGAAGTGGCTCATTAGCAAAGGGGTTCATCCGGTGTCTATATGATGTGGGGCAAGTGCAATTTCTACTGTGCAAGCCCAGTGGCTGCTGGGTTCAAAATGCCAGCCACTGTGATCTGAGAGGCTTGAGTGCCATAGTTTTGGCAGGCCTCGTCTCTTCAGGTGGTGGTTCATAGATTTCATAGACATTAGGGCTGGAAGGGACCTTGGAAGATCATCGAGTCCAGCCCCCTGCCCAAAGGGCAGGAAGTCAGCTGGGGTCATAGGATCCCAGCAAGATAAGCATCCAGTTTCATCTTGAAGGTGTTCAATGTAGGCGCTTGAACCACCGCCGGTGGCAGGCTGTTCCAGACCTTGGGGGCTCGGACAGTAAAGAAGTTCTTCCTTATGTCCAGCCTGAAACGATCTTGAAGTAGTTTGTGACCATTCGACCTCGTCATCCCTTGGGGCGCTCTGGTGAACAAACGTTCCCCCAGATGCTGGTGGTCACCCCTGATAAACTTGTAGGTGGCCATCAGATCACCCCTGAGCCTGCGCTTTTTCAGGCTAAAGAGCCCCAGGGCTCTCAGCCTGTCATTGTAGGGTCTGCTTCCCTGACCTCTGATCATGCGCGTGGCTCTTCTCTGGACTCTCTCAAGCTTCTCCACATCCTTTTTGAATTGTGGAGCCCAAAACTGGACGCAGTACTCCAGCTGCGGCCTCACTAAGGCCGAGTACAGGGGGAGAATGACGTCCCGGGATTTGCTTGAGAAGCATCTATGGATGCAAGCCAGCGTTTTGGTCGCTTTACTAGCCGCCGCATCGCATTGCAGGCTCATGTTCATCTGGAGGTCAATGATGACCCCCAAGTCTCTTTCTTCCATAGTGCTAGCCAACATAGCTGGGCTATGATGCTCGCCAGCTCCTTGAGTACCCTGGGGTGAAGATTGTCAGGGCC